ACTGCGAGAAGATCCAACCAGTCCATCCTCAGGAAATAAAGCCCGGCTGCTCACTGGAGGGAAGGATACTAGAGACAAAGTTGAAGTACTTTGGCCACATCATGAGGAGACAGCAAAGCCTAGAGAAGACAATTATGCTGGGGAAAGTGGAAGGCAAAAGGAAGAGGGGCCGACCAAGGGCAAGATGGATGGATGGCATCCTTGAAGTGACTAGACTGACCTTGAAGGAGCTGGGGGTGGTGACGGCCGACAGGGAGCTCTGGCGTGGGCTGGTCCATGAGGTCACGAAGCATCGGAGACGACTGAACGAAAGCATCGGAGACGACTGAACAACAATTTTTATGTCACAAGCCATTTTAGTAGAGTCTTTGCCCTGAACATTTATATAAACCAGCCAAATAAATACATTCAAAATCAAAAATATTATGTAGCAGGAACACTGGATAGTGTCATGGCTATATTTTTAGACCAAAGGTAGACTAAATACTTGCCAGTACAAGAACCTGGGCTCTAGTCAAGTGATTCATACACAAATGACTTAACACATAGGAGATACCTCATTACTTGGCCAAATTTATGTTAAGAACGTTTCATTTGCAGCAAAACTGCAAAGTGATCCTTACAGTGTGTTCAGGTTTCTTTTAATACAATCAATATAATTTGATACTGTATGAAATATAAAAGATTGAGGAACATTATGTGAACTGTGCTTCCAAAAAGCCATGCAGATGCATGGTATAGATAGCCCTGTATACATGTACAGTTTTCTCCATGTTTTAATACTTGCCAAAAAAATTCTGTTGTGAAAACACATGTGTTAGACTCAATAAAATTTCATCACCATCATCTGTGGGGCTCAGGTCTGTCCTCACTAGGAGAGATAGTTCAGCTTTTTGAGTCTGGTCTGGTGTAATTACTAGGCAGATGAAACCAAAAAAGTTGTTTTGGTCCTACACTGTTGGCTGTTATCAGTAATGGATGAGGGCAGAGAAGATGGAGATGCTTCTGGTCACTCAAAAGGCAGGTCAGGCAACAGGTATAGTTCAGCTACCTTTGAGTAGTCCTTGTGTTGTAACTCAGCGTGTGCCTCATGTATCTACTAGTGCTAGTAGGAGGAAACGAGGCTTGGAAGAGGAAGAGGCTCAGCAACAGCTGAAGCGCATTAGGGACTTGTTCTTAGAGTCTACTGATGAGGAAGACTTTCAGGGGTTTACTCGTGAGGAAATGGAGGTGGAGAATTACTGTGGTGTAAAGAGAGTAGCATGCAGCTCAGACAGTGATGAGGAATCCATTTCCAAGCGTCTTAAAGACGTAGCAGATAGCGATGAGTCTGACAGTGAGGATGAAGAGCTGGACTGGACCAGGGTTCAGGAGGTTTTGGATGTGGTTAATGCTCCAACTTCCAGCGATGAGTTCCAAGGATTCACAGACCCATGGGTTTCGGATACTGCTTTGCAGGATGCAGCTCGGAGTGCAGACTGGCAGCAGTGGAGAGAACGCAGTTCACCTGTGGAACTGGAGGCACCTGGAGGGGAATCTAGTGATTCTGATGGGATTTAAGGAGTAGCCTTGGGTCCATCTTGTTGCAGAGTTCAAAGTGTTGTGTTCCTGTGCTTCTTGATGCTAACTCTTGCCTTGAGTCCTTGTATCCAGAACCGTGCCTTCGTGATCGTGCTGACGTCTTTGCCTGGCTTGGAATCGTGAGTCTTGTCTCCTGCCCTGACCCTTGGACCGTCTTGACCATTCTTCGCTTCTGCCTATCTCCTGTGACATCGTTGGACCGCTCCTCATGCTGTTTATTGCCTAGTGATTTATTGGACTGTCTTTATTCTGTGTTCATTGCGAACTGTCTGCCAGTTTTCCTTTCTGCAGCTCAGGCTGCCTAGGCTGCGGCTTTGTTTACATTCCTGCCAGCCGCAGCCTCCTTTGTTTACTAGCTCTGCTGTTAAGAGCCTTTTGAACTGTTAATTTGACATTAAAGACCTTCTGTTAACGCTTTAGCTGCTGTTTTGCCTCGTTGGTCCGCCTGGGTCTTGACACCTTGCCTAAGTAAACCCAATGAAATTCATGAGGTCTCTGTTAGTCAACACATTAATTGAATGCACATAAACATATTGTGCTGAATGGGGTAACAGTTGAGTATGTTTCTGGATTCAACTCTGATTCTAGATGGTTAGGTTTCGGCAGTGGTTGGAAGTGCATTTGAATAGTTGAAGTTTTGTGTGCCAGCAATGCCCATGCCTTGAAAGGTCACATCTGGCTAAGATTACATGTTTAGTTATATTCCAGTCACATTACTGTAATGTGCTCTATGTGGGACTATCTTTGAAGAGTATTTGGAAACTTCAGATGACTTTAAGAACTACAGCCAAATTGGGGCTGGTTACAAAAATCTCCCTTCTTGCAACAGCTTCATGGGCTGCAACCCTTTCTGGAAACAACTCAAAGTCCTGGTGGTGATCTATAAAGCTCTTTATGGCTCATATCTAGGTTATATGAAGGACCATATTCTCCTTTATGAACCAGCCAAGGCTGGAGGCCTTTCTCTCTGCTTTACCACCTCACAGGTACATTTGACAAAAATACGGGAGGTAGACTTTTCAGATGCTGACCTAGGGTCTGGCTTCTCAGCAGTTGCACCTTTTTAAAATCCACACACAAGTTCCAACAGACATTTGATGGGTGACTGTATAAGACTCATCTCACCTAAACAATACACCAGATTTTACTGATTGTTGTGTTTAGCTGCCTCCCTCCCCTTCTCTCTGTTTAATGATGTATGTTTTACTCTGGTCTTAACAATAACTTAACTTTCAAATCTAATACAATTTTAATAATATTAGTAATTGGGAAGGCATTATCTTACACTGTCTCACCTTTTCTCTGGTTACTTCTGTGAAGTGCATATGGTTTCCTTCTTTTTATTCTTAGAAACCAAACCTGGCTTCATACCTGAAGAAATCCTTGGCAAACTATCTTCTGGTGCATTCCCCTGCCATTCAGTCTCATCCCTGGCAGACTTACCTAGTGATATTGTGCCAGGTAATTAAACGCCACCTGCCATTTTAATTTCATAGAATGCCCCGGAGTAACTATGTTGTAAGTTTTACAGTACTTTGAAATGGCAGACAACTCCAAGACCCAGCTGTTGACTTACAGGGACCGAATCATGCTGTAGCAAAGAGTGCTCCTGTTATGTTGTGGTCTTTGCAACTGTCTCAGACTGGCAGAGGCTGATAACAGAACATCACTGGGAGAGACTGATTGGCCTGAATGGGAATAAATGCAAATCTGGGAGTGGCTGGTCAGTTCTCTAGCTACTAAAGTGCCATGGTTCTAGAAGTAGCAGCCAAAAATGAAAGGACCAAGGCAGTGATGTCTCCGACCCATTCCCTGTTCGGATATCAGCCAGCATGCCAACACCTTAAATCAAGAAATAGTTTTCTAAGATCTACAGAGATACTTGCAGGAACACCTCAGCAACTGAGAGTCCAAAAGTGGCAGGCTAAAACCCAGAACCTCAAGCCATGGCTGATACCGGATGAGAGGCTTCCCCCTGGGCACACAGAAGACTGGTTGTGGCTGGCTACCTCAGTGCCTTGTACATGGCAATCAGGTAAAAGTAAAATGATGTTTTTTTTTAAAAAAAGCAGTTTATGTTCTCTTGGCTTTGCAAAAGTTGCTTATTGCTTTGCTGCCTTCTTTAAACACCTTTGTAGATTCAATCAGTCTATTTTATATTTAGACGAAGACTGCTACAGACCGCTGTTTTTGGGTCCTTCAGCCATTTTGGCTAATAAGCAGCAGGGCAGTGTGGGAAATGTAGTTTAACAGCAGGGCCTTTTGCGATCTCTACCATTGGGGGCCTGGCCTTCACAAACTACAGTTAAAGATGGCTGTGATTAGGCTTTATAAAAGTTGCTTAATTTTTGTGAAAATTTAAAAAAACCCTGGGAGACATCCGAACATTAAATAATACTTCTGGAAAAAAAAGGTAAGTGGTTCAAATTCGGACCCCCCCCCCCCAACCTTTCCTGCATGGTTAAAAACTGCATCAAAAGTCCAAATTCGTATGTATTCTTCTGACTTTCAGGCTTTTCTGAACGAACCTATCCAACCCTACTAGCTACCACAGTGCCATGGTTCTAATACCACAGTGGCCTGACAGAATAGGTGAGAAGTGAGATAACATGCCATGTCTTGAGCACAGATGAGTTGAAAATGACTAGCTCATGTGCCAAGATTACTAGCCCGATGAAAGCAGGTTAAAATACAAATACTTGTTATATCATTGCAAATAGTTAGAAAAGCAATTTTCATCTCCAGGGAGGAATAGTATAGATATCCTAAAATATAACATGGAATAGAAATATTTTAATAATGAAAATAGTAGACTTGTTTATCTTACCTGACCCCTACACTCCTCCACAGTGGCTATATCAGCATGATCTGCATTTCCACACCTTCTACACTCATCTTCAAAGATTCAACAGCTGACCTTAAGTGGTATAAGGGTATTGCCAAGCCAATTCAAGAGCTCCTAATTCAATTTGCTTAAATGCAAGCAATCATAAATAATTATAAATCAATTACTTACAGTGAACCCGTGTTATACTTCCCTAAGCAATTTTTATATAAAAAACCCCCTCAGATAAAACATTTTAAATGACTGAGCAAAATGAGTAGCTGCCATATGGCAAGGCATTTGCATTTCAATTTATATTTTTGTTCATAATAACACCATTTGAAATACATTTTGCTAAATATGGGAACTCAACTTGTAGAAGAAATCAATTATATTCTTAGTTTAAATCTTCTTTTTTCCCTTGGCTATGCTCTAATGTATCACTGTACTTTAAAATGCACCCTGGGGAAAATGCTTCTCTTTAACTAAAAATCCATGAATAACATTATGCAAAAATTAATTTATGTTGAATTATTTGAAATCTTTCTTATTCAAAGGTTTCTTATTCCAATGTCCTGAGAAAATGACACCTCACCCGTAGAAAGGAGTCCAGGGATCCATTCTCCATGTATTCAACCACAATCATTACTGGTCTGCCTGCAAAGACAGCAAAGGAATATGTTACAATTGCAGGTATATTAAGGGTTTTTTTTTATTTCCAGCTGTTAGAAAGAGATTATTTGTAAACATATTAGTAAAATACATTGCTCATTTTCCAATTTCCTTTTGTATCAAAAATGTACCTTGTTGTTCTATTATTGCTAAGCTGTATTTTCTTTGATTATGCTGGAGGATTAACTGCAGATGTGTTTAGTTTGATGGTTGCTGCGAGTTTTCCAGGCTGTATAGTCATGTTCCAGAAGCATTCTCTACTGACGTTTCACCCACATCTATGGCAGGCATCCTCAGAGGTTGTGAGGTTTGCTGGAAACAAGGCAAGTGGGATTTATATATCTGTGGAATGTCCAGGGTGGGAGAAAGAACTCCTGTCTGTTTAAGGCAAGTGTGAATGTTGCACTTGATCACCTTGATTAGCATTGAATAGCCTTGCAGCTTCAAGGCTTCGCTACTTCCTGCCTGGGAGAATAATTTGTTGGGAGGTGATTTGCTGGCCCCGATTGTTTCTTGTCTGGAATTCCCCTATTTTTTAAGTGTTGTTCTTTATTTACTGTCCTGATTTAGAATTTTTAAATACTGGTAGTCAGATTTTGTTCATTTTCATGTTTTCCTCCTTTAGTTTGAGTTTCAAAACTGAAGTAGTTCCATCCATAAATCTAACATTTATTGCTGGTATAATTCTTTAATATATACAGTCCAGACAAAATAATGTGGGAAGGGTCTTAACAGATAGGGGAAAATGTTTTTATTTTTTAAACTGCATCTCTGAGACTTTCTCAGACAGGAGAGCCAACATCTTTGGCCTGTATACTTCTCTGTTTTAGGAATTATAGTCCAAAATGTAACTTTTTAAAAGCCCTGGATATGATATAATGAATTACCCAGAGGTTGAATTGTAAGTGTCCTGGACCTTCCTGAGAACTTCAGATCAAACTATTAGGACTGTCTGTTCAACTATTGTTGTTGTTGTTTTTTTAAAAAAATTAGAGATAAGGATTTGTCTAGTGTCCTTCTTGAAGAAGTGAACAATATCAAACATCTATTCATTTAAGAAATTCTCCTACTGTAGTACTCAATGGTCTTTGGTGACTCACGGAGAGTTTCACCATGTCCTTTGTATATTGATGTGTAATAACCACTTACGGAGATAACACTAGTGGACTTAGCACATAAACAACTTGAGAATTGCTATGGCATAGATGTGACATTTGTCTCAGTTTCCCAAGTCTAGATCTCTACTGATGGACCACAGCATCCCATATTTGAAATGCTTGGGACAAGAAGCATTTCAGATTTCAGATTTTCTTTTTGGATTTTTGAATACTTATGTTTCTACACATATTTAAAAAATGAGATATCTTAGAAATAGGATTACGTCTAAACACAACATTCATTTATGTGTCATATACATCTTATATGCATAGGCCAAAGGTAATTTTATATAATATATTTATAGGGTTGTTGTGAGTTTTCTGGGCTGTATGGCCATATTCCAGAATCATTCTCTCAGTACAGACCTCACAACCTCTGAAGATGCCTGAGAAACATCAGGAGAGAATAATTCTGGAATATGGCCATACAGCCCAGAAAACTCACAATAACCCAGTGATTCCAGCCATAAAAGCCTTCGATGATACAATATATTTATATTTTGTGAACAAAACAAAGTTTGTGGACACTAAACTATCAGAAAGCAAAAATGTCACTATATCAGCCACCTATGTGAACAATTTCAGGTTTTGGAATTCCAGAATTGGAATGCTTAATCTATGCATACCTTGATCGGTCATGGTGCACAAGTTTAGTTCAGTAGACAATGACTCTAATCCAGAATATATAAAGTAAAGAATACAAGGCTAGAAATACGGAGATTACCCACTCATCCATTCATCCATCATTCAGGAGGCTGACTGGGAACAAGTAAGGGGAAACGTTTGAAAAGCACTTTCCCTAATCAATTTTTAAGGTGGGTCAAAGAATATTGTGTTCAGGACTGATCTTAAAGTTTGCATGGGTTCATATGGTGAAAGATGACAGTTTTTCAATTGTTAATTTATAAAATTTCACGGGAAACTATCACATACCAAAGCAGACAACTGGTCTATATCAGCTCTGTGTTGTTTGCACTTAGCAATGGCTCTCTAGGATTTTAGACTGAAGTCTTTCTCACCTGCATATGGAAGTGCCAGGAATCAAACCTGGGGACCTACTGGGTAACATCACTTCTGCCTTTCAACTAGAATATGTAATTAATAATAAGTATTCGTGACAAAAACATCTAGGGTATTCTGGTACTAATTTTACATCCTGTATTTACCTGAGAAGTCTTGTACTGTTTGCATTCAAGAATTATTCCAGAACTACCAAGGAGATAGGGCCCAATTTACATATTGTAATATTCCATCAGATGTTATTTAGGCGATGTTTATAATGCAAAGAGTGAAAAAAAATGCAAACCTTCTGTAATGAATCATTTTACATACAGGACTTGAAAGAATATAATAAAACAGCAAATATGTTTTGTGAGAACACTTGTATTAACTATTGTAATAAATAGCAGATAAAATAATAAAAGGGATAAAAACACTGGTACTTTCAGAAAATCTTGTCAACATTTTTCTGTTATTGTTTTTATTATTTCAGGTGACAGAGAACAGAATACTGCACATGCTATTTGCAATATGACTCCAACAGAACTATACAAACAGAACTATACTACTATTTTTTTACAGTTTTCTTCAGCCAAACTTTCTACTTTTTGCTTGAGAACAACAAACAAGAGTTGCTGAATGACAGACCAAGCAAGGACCAAAGGCAGCATTTGATCAATATATATAGAGGTGTTTTACAGAAGAATGAATAGAGACACTATTGCCATCGCAGTCCAGATGGGTGATGGCAATAGTATCTCTACTCATTCTACAAAATTATCTCATTCTACACAGAGGACTATGGTGCTTTGCCAGACTGTAAACCCCAGAAGTCCACTGAATTTTGCCATGGCAGTTGAAGTGGAATCTAGTGCTATAATTGCGTGGTGTGAGATTTTGCTTTAGTGACATCATTGTGTTTTCTCTATTCACAGAGCAAAAAGGTTATTCTCCTCTCTGTAGGCACTAGTCTTGTATATTTGTATAGAATTGCTATCCGTTTTGGTTTGTTTCATTAGTATGGACCAATTTTCATTTTTGAGCACTACTTCTGAAAACGGGGGCCTTTCTGAATGAGCTGTTTCATTCTTTCTTCTGAATGAAGAAACATTTTCAGACCAAACTTAAAGGCAGGGCTTAAGATCCCACTGATTCTGGGAGGTTTTCCTCTGGATATGCAGAGGACATTCAAGCTTAAAGGCAGGGCTTAAGATCCCACTGATTCTGAGAGGTTTCCCTCTGGATATGCAGAAGAGACCTATAGCCTGGCAATGCAGAAGAACTCCCTGGGCTACCTGAGAAAAGCCATGTGGTCCGAAAACCAAACAAAGAAATGGAAACCATGCAACTTTCTTTTTTGTTTCACCTTTTGTTTCATTCGAAAATGGGTCTTTTATTTTGTGCTTTCTGAATGGGTGGTACAAAATGAATACCCAAATGAAACAAATGAAACAAATACTGTGCACTAGTCTAGTAGGAACAGGCCCTTCCACCATTTGGTCAAGGAAAAAGAGACTTACACATATCAGTCTCCAAGTCTAGAATGCCCTCTTTTCTTTGATCATGGAGGAAAACTAGCATTTTTGAGTTACTGCTTACAGTTAGTTATATTTAGCACCAGTTACTAAAGTATAACTCTGTTCTATCAAAGGGCATGACTTTATTCCTCCTGCAATGTAATTGTAACATTCTGGTACTTTAAAGTCACATGAACATGGCCTGACTAAATGATGGAGGAGGAAAATCACATAGTTCAAGTGCTGATTTGTGGGTTCATTTCAGCTCAGAAGCTGCAAGTTTCCTCTTGCTACTCTAATAAAGTCTGTAACAAATTAGTTTTCTGTTGAAAGTTTGTCATTTCTTCACTGATTATGGAAACTTCTCCTACTGCTTATCGTAGGGCATCATGCAATTTAATGCATCCCAGTATCTAAACCTGGATTTTTTTCACAGTAAATACAACCCACAAGATTTTTGAACTTCTGAGTTAGAGACACAAAACCAGACTTTCAGATTAATTGTGTGTTCCTTAGCTTCCAAACCATTTGTTTTGAGGAGTTGGAGTAGTTCCAATTTTGTCTTGTGGATACTTGTCACATAATAAGTCTCCTACACTTCCACAGAATAATATCATTTTTACTCATAAAACTATGTGTACTCAAAATATATACCATCATGTGTGATGAATTCACATATGGGCAAAAGAATGTCCTGACAGCACAAACTGTAACTTTAAAACTAAACTGGTTTGGCTCTGTAAACTTTTTGAATAGACTACTGCGGGGCATTACACACAAACCACTTTGCACTCTTCAGAAGAGTGGGGTTTAAGTGTAATGAAATAAAGTCTGTTTTGCTGTCTGTCTCTGGGTGCCTCTCAGCCACCTTTTGTATCATAGAATCTTTTCTAGACACTGAGACAGATGGCATACCACTTCAATTGCCAACAATGTGATGAACTTGTCTGATCTTTCAGCAAGTACTTGTTGATAATAGAGTAGATAAATTAAACCATACAGTAGTATCGCAAACAGACAACTTTGTGGATTATGACTTGTGCCTCTGGTCATGATTTTACCAGACAGTCATATATACAAAGGCAGCCCAAGATGACTGTGCTATGTATTTGAATACTGTAACCTCACAGATCAATAACATTTCCCCCCAAACTAATTGCCACACTTGTTCCAGAAAGCATGTAGAAAATCCCAGACGATTAGCTCTAGCCATTCACACACACATACAAAACTAAATGATTACCACTTAGAACCTCATTTGTCTTTCATGATTGTTTCTAGCACTTCTTTTTATTCTGTTGTTGACAGTTTT